CGGGGGGGGGCAAGCTGTTGGGAAGGTGTTTAAAGTTGCCAGCTGGCAGACAAGTGGGATTCCTGCTCCCCTCACTGTAGGTCCTCCGTACCAGAAGTGAGCTGGCAGGTTCAGGCTGGGGCTACAGCAGTTTCTTGATGTGGATCCAGAAACGCAGCCACTCATTGGCCTGCCCTACTCAGGGGTGGAGGATCCATAGCACCTGCTCAGGATTGGAGAGGCCCTGTCTGCCCTGGCTATCACTCTCCTAAATGTGTGAGTGAGGCACAGGCTGCACCAAATAACCTGGGAGGCTGCAAGTAGCTGTGAGCTTGAGACCCTGTTCTAGCCATTTCCTATCTCCATTTGTTGTAAATGTTCTGGGGCAGAGGGCCTTTGAATCTGTTTCTGTGTAAGAGAACTTTCTTTCTGGTCTGTAGTGTTTCATTCCACTGAGGTCTGCCATTCCTGGGTTTGTATTGGTTGCAAGAAACTGTTTGCTGTCCTGGCAGGATGAGCTTATGTGAATAAGGGCAGTTTTATATTTTGCAGAGACCTCTCCAAAGTGTAGGGCCTGCCAAGTGTCTAAGCACAAGGCAGAGTGAGATGTTGCCTTACTCCTTGAGGTGCTTCTTAGTAGAGACAAATCCTTTCAAAGTATTTTGAAGCTATCTGTGTGATCATCTCCATACCCAAAGACATATGTAGGGAGAGTTTAAAAAGTAGAGATGGTAGCCATGATCATGTGATTGTGCTTTCAGCACACGCCATGTACATTTGGACATTTTCAGAAAAAACTGAGTAATCTGTATGAAAGGAAAATTGCCTATCAAGATCCCAATATTCTTGCATGTAAATTCCCACTGGGAACTGTGGGGATGGCATGACGTGTAGTTTTGCAGGCAGGTGCTCTTCCAACAGTTGCAACCACAATTGTGGGTTGCATGTAGAGCTGCTGGGAGTAATAACTTGCTTAAACCCAGAAGAAGGGTCTGACTGCATGTTGCACAGTTTTTTCAAGGATTGTGAAACCATCTAGAAGAATTAAGATTAAGTTGCTGATAACGTGGCCTGTGAAATCCACCAGGGAGCTCCAGATTCAGATTAGGGATGCAAGGGAAGGCAGGAGTTGTTGTGAATGGAAAAATGGCCCTATCCCAAGCCCATGGAGCTCCAGCATCACAAATTGCTAAATTGAAGAGTTGTTATTTGAGCTGCACTGCGTCAGAGCTGGAAGAAAATTGGCTTGCTTGCCCAAGGAGGACAATGTGGTGAGAATATAGCAGGGCTGTGCTGATGCCAGATTAGGGCAACTACTCCATACTGAGGCATCCTTGATAAAGGGTGGAAGATTTTGCAACACTGCAGTTTTCCATACGTGGAGTAGGTGGCAGCTAATAGAGTAAATAAACCAATGCATTCAAGGGATAACTCTCACACTGTGACTAAACCTTCCTCCTGTCCTTGTAAATTGAGTGTGTGGAACAAGGTTACTTTCCACCCATTTCCTGGCTTGAGGTCTTCTAAAGGATTGTGCAAGGTTGCCTTTGCTCAGCTCTCCCCAGATTCTATTTATTGTTGAATGAATGACAGGATGGATGCTTGAAAGTAACTTCAGATACAGTGCATGGTTTCTGTTGATTTTTTTCTTGCTCTATTTGCACATAGCACTTGGAAGTGCAAAATAAAGTTTGAGTACCATACACTATCACTGTTCTACTGTAGTTCATCCTCTGAGGATATAGAGTTAAGGAAGCCATTGATCCAAGGCCGCATTGAGGAAAGAAGGGTTTCCTTCTCGCTGTTTTTTAAGAGTCAGAAATCCTGGCATCCACAACAGTTTATTCAAAGATCAACCAGTAGATCCTGAGACATCCTCTAATCAGTACTTTAGTGTGACCTGGGGCTGTGGTGGCCTGGGAGCTGCTAATCATTAGCTGCACTCATGCAGAACACTGAACTCTTTTTTTTTAGAACTATGGTTATTGAAGATATCTTTAGCTTGATGTCAACTTAACACTAAAGCGTAGTGGTGAGTTCACACATTATAGTAAGGCAAAACCAAAGTATAAAGTGTAAACTCTGACAGTGTACTGAGCCTTCCTCAGGATTCAATGATAAATGTTTCTGAGATCTTCGAAAAGTAAGACTGGCTGTGTCTGGAGAAGCCACTTATGACCTGATTTCACCGTCTCCTTGTGAACCCACAACATCTGAAGTCATAGAAGGATCGTAGCTTGAAGGATGGAGTGTGTTAGGTTTATCAGAAGATGATTGGCAACTAACTTCTTCATGTGGCTTTAAGATTTAGGGTGGATGTGGGCCCAGTATATTGATGGTGGCAGGTATTGTAGATACAGTATTCAGTTGTAGATATTCAATCTTCTTTCCAAAGAGTACAACACAGAATGAAAACAAAGAGAAGGCTCTTGGATTCTCAAGCTACTTCCAACTTATTTGTTTGGAGAGTGAGCATTTAACAAGATGAGTAAAGCACATTCTCAGGGCAGGAAGCTCCTCTTCCCCAAGTTTCCTAGGAAGGAGATGGTGGGACCTCAGAATGACATTTGCTCGTGTTTGGTTAATAACACAGATCTTATCCCATCTCTAAGGCAGCCAAAAAGTGCCTTTGTGCTGGGGGAGGAGAAATGGAA